GTGGGTTTCAGTCTTCTATTATTTTCACACTATTTATCTATAAATTCTGTTAAACCTTCTACTTATGAAACTTTAATATTAAAATCTAATATAATATATAAGTTGATTGAAATAATTTTTTATGATATAAATTATTATAAATTAATTTTAATATAAATTTTTAAGCATTAAGCTGGATTTAAGTTCGTGTGTGTGACAAGATGACATCATTTTGATGCATTCTCACATATTACGAAGTCTTCAGAACAGAAGCTATTAAATATATTAGCCTTTATGATACAATGTTAAGTTCGTTGTTGCCATTTTCTTATATTGGTAGACATAATGAGCATTAAGCTTTTTGTCTGCTCAAGCAATTATTGATTTGAACAGCCTGAATATTGTGAAATGACATAATTCACAACTTACTGATGAGAAGCCAATGTGTGACTTATGGAAAATGAGTGGTCATTCAACCCCACATTTACCATAATTTTTAATTTGAATTACTGCCAACAAACATTGGTTCTAGTCTGATAAAGGACCTTCAGAGATCCTTTTGCAATGTGACGAATGCATACTTGATTTTGTTAGTCAAAACAAATAATTTTATTTACAAAAGCAATTTGACTAGCAGAAAGTGGAAGCCTGATTATCAGAATTCATAACATAAAAATTGTCAGGCTTATGAAAGAGTATAATTAAAAAATTTTTTTATTTACAGGAGGAACAACTTAGAAACCATCACAGAATGTTTCATAGTAATCAATGTTACATTTGCAAATATTGTGGCCAGACTGTCAAATTACGACAATCCATGATAAGGCATCTTAAAGAAAAACATAATGAACATGAGAGTGAATGGAAAAAGGCAGGTGTTATAAATTCAATGATAATCACGAAAAAAAAGGGTTCAGAATTGCCCAGTGAGTCGAAATTACTTTCAGAAGGAGATGATAGTCGAGGTAATAGTTTTAATAAAATAAAAAACTATATGATATAATAAATTAGTTTTTAATTGTCAATCATAAACAGTGTTGCCACCTTTTCAAAATCGCTGACCTAGACATTTTAAAATTAGGATATGGATATTATATTTAGAAATAAAAACTTAGATTTTTTTTATTGTGAGTAGAAAATAAATATATTTTTTTTTATTAGAAGGTAAATATATACATGATACATTATTAAAGTAATACAATAATCACATGTGGCATATCTAAAAATATTAAGTTACAAGAGATACATTGTATCTGATACAATATATAATATAATATGAGGTACTATACATGCAATGTCATTTTACAGCCAAGAACTGAACAATGTGCATGCCAGTTTTAAACCAGTTAGGGACTGGTGATGGAACAAACCCAATATTTGCAAGTTAGAATTTTAAAAGTACATTTTTTTGTCATTCTTAGCCTAGGGATAAGTTTGGGTGGGGGTGTAAAGTTAGTCTTTAACCGTTAAAATAAAATACTCACAAATATTTTTATAAATTTATTTTGTTTCATTATAATTTCATGATTTATACAAAAACTGGACAAATTAATAATTAATCCAGACCACAAATTTAAAAACCGGTCTGGTGGCAACACTAATCATAAATTAAATATTATATATGATAGAAATAAAATTTTCTCATTATTATTTCATTTTTCTTTGAGTGCTTATTTAGAAATTAACAATAAATTTTACAAAATGAATTAATAATAATAATAACAATAACAACTTTCAGATAAATAGGTATTTTTTTAAGCTGATAGCTTAAAAAAATACCTATTTATCTGAAACAACATTAACACAACTGCCAAAGTGATTATAACAAGAAAATTTACTGTATTTTTTTCTACGGGTATTACAAGATATAGCAGATATATATATATATATAGTAAAAATTGCTTAGGCAACAACCGGCAAAAATTTCTGGCATGGAATAGTTTATCCATAGAGTCTTCATATAAGTTACCTGTAGGTATTTCAGAATAGGTATTTAGCTATCAGCTTAAAAAAATACCTATTTATCTAAAATAATGGTAACTCAATATTGAGATTAGTTGTAAGATATTTCCATTTAATCCTTGTTTTTGATTGTTTAAATATTTTTTACAGGAATAAAATCTTCATTATCAACATATGCAAATCAAGGAGGACAAAAAGTAACATGTAACCAAATAATAAACAAAACAGTGTCGTCAGATGTTTGTGAAAAATCAGTGCCTTTAAATAGTGAACAATCTGGTGATAAAAACAGTGGACAGATTATTTCATCTTCCTGTACTGCTGATACAGAAGAACCAAATAATCATGTAGGAGAAGAAAGTTTGCCAAATGTTTACTCAAATGAGAATGAACATATCACACATTCAGTTGATAACTGTAATGATTTGGATTCTGAAAATAATTTAAAGAAAATACAGACAGTTGGAAATTCAGTTCAGAAATTCAAAAGTATGAGAGAAGAATGTGAAGTTGATTTACAAACAGAATAGATCATTTCAGAAAGTCATTAAGTATCAGATAGTTTAATAATGTGAAACTAAAAGAAATAATTGTTTGAAATTAAGATTCAATATTTTTACCAAATCATTATTTATATAATTTAATTTGCATTGCTTATTTCAAGTTACTTCAGCATTTCTTGGAATTAAACAAAAAATAATAAGCAATTTTGTTTTATATTGAAATTTGCTGAGTAAATTTCCAAAAGTATTTCAATCATTTCAACAATTATTCTGAATAAGATAAAGTATACTATTATTTGTAATGATGTGTAATCAGATTTTCTTTGAAAATTTATACAGTTTGGTAGCACTCACTAAATAAATAAATATGGATGCAAATTATATATAAGAGTAGGCTTACCATAATATTTTTTTTTCAAACCAGGACAATTTTGAGAAAATACTCACAACAGAAAATAAAGCCTACTAGGATAAATCTTATGATTAAGGCTGTATAAAAAGTTAACAAAAAATGAGTTAAAAGCAATTTTTAATAACTCAACTGAACATACCTTATTATTAAGACGTTATTAATATTTATCACTAGTGTGAACTTTCTTTAAAAATTCTTTGTCACTTAAATCAGTACTTTTAAAGTATGATAATATATTTGAGGAAGTTCCTATTGCTATTAGGCTTGCTTTATGTTTTGCACATTTCAAGTGATTTCTAATGTCCAAACACCCATGAGTTACTGAAAATTCTGAAAAATACAGTTCATATTTCACTTCGTTAATATGATCACAGACTTCTTTCAAAAACAGATAATCCTTTTTTCAATATTCAGTAAACACATGGTTTCTTTTTGGCATTTTGGAGATTAAATTAATATGATGTACAGTAGCAAATGCCAACTAGCAATTTGAATTTGAACAAGATAGGACAAACGTGGCCAGTGTAAGTTTCAATGTTGCCAACTCTAATTGAAACAAAATATTTAAAAAAATGAAATAAAAATATCTGGATCTCATAGGCCACATGCTATTATAAATTCTGTGAAAAAATATCTAGATGAAAAAACAAATAAAAACATATAAATTCATTAGGCCATATGCTATAAATTTTGGGGAAAACATCTTGACAACATTAAAAGTACTTATATCTAGATACAAAATATTTAAATTGACAACAGTGAGTGTAACAGAGGGGATTATTTAGTTGCCAAATTGCTATTTTACCCATGGCTGCACTATTTATACTTCTTGTATATTTGGCACTTTTAAAATTGTACCAAATAACTGGGACAAAATGACAAACTGGCTGGGATGCCGGGACCACATCATCAAACCAGGACAATCCTGATCAAAACATGACGTCTGGTAAGCCTATATAAGAGTATATTTACTGTTAAATGAGTGTGTTCATATTTATTTATTTATTATACTAGAAATGTATTTGTTTACATACATACATATATACATACATATCCTTATGCCCAATGTGAAAAGGGTGAGCAGCAGGAAAAAGGAGACTATAATCTTACAATCAATCTTTGAACTAAATGTGTTTATTTGAACTTTAAATTATGTTGCCATAGATAAAGATGACATTGAAGAATACATAGAATCACAAACTATGAATTTTAAGTGATTAATGAATGTATGAAACTTTTAATTGGTTCATCAGTGTGAAGAAACGTTTTGAAAGCAAAAAACTGAATAAAAAGAAAGGATGAATAGCATAATGCAAAGTTTGACATGCAAGATAGCATTGATCAACATTGTATTTGGAAATAATTTTTACAGTAGAAATATTTGCATTGTATATAAGCAAATTATCAAGAAAATTATATAATCATAATCAAGGTGAGTATTTTAGTTATAATATAATGTATAATAAAAAATTAAGAAATAAATTGCTTTATTATTACTACTAAAGAAAAAAATACAAACATTTAAAACTGATACAAAATTCTTTAGCCTTTTATTAATTGCTCTTTTTTTATTTGTTAAATATTAACTTAACTAGTTTAACTTCATTTTGAAATTTTATTTCATTATAATATGCTATAGTCTCTGCTTCTGATCATTTTCAGTGATTCAATCACAGTGTTTTGTATCACTTTATGATGCTCTTCACAGTTTTATAACTAATAATTTAAAATAATTCTTTGTAAACAGTCTAAATTTGATATATTGTTTACATGTACAGTATAGTACACACTAAAATTTTCATTCATTGTTTATTTAATCTATATAATTTAAAATATTTTTGAGCAAATTAACAACAATTAACATCTTAAAATAAGCTTGCAATGCTTAAAATCAACTGTTCAAATGTTTTTTTGTCATATTGACATTAAACATTAAACCTTTGTGCTTCAAAATGCACAACCTATCTTTTAAGATTTTGGATTCTTCTGATAACATGTTATACTATATTATAACTATAGTATAACTATATTATACAGCTTTATTTTTCTTTATGAAGTCCGTTTTTAGATTTTTCATATCAGTGTCAACACAGTTTTATTTTATTAAATAAGAAAATGCCTATTACAATGACAATATTAAAATATAAAAAAATTATACACTCATCCAGGTAATAGTATGTTATTTAATATTTTTTCATTCTTTGCTTGGTACTTATTCTAGCCTTTAATGTATAATGGCCAAGTGATTAAGGTAGTGTCAACCCATTGCTCTGAGGAACCTAACTTTATGTCTGGGACAAATCTTCAGAAGTTTTATAGGTGTTTTTTGACCTTGGTTCTATCTATACCACTTAAGCCCTACTTCATTGTGAGCTTGGTTGAATCTATCATAAGCATGAGAAAGGCACAATTAGTACTAATTGGGCAGAAAAATTTTTTAAAGACTTTTTAATATATTCTGATCAAACAAGATAACAGAAATATGTCTTTCCCTGTTTAGCAGTTTTTGATCAAATTAGGTCTTATGCTAATGAATTATATAAAAACATTTTGCAGTTTTTTGAGTTTTGTTAGTCTGTTGAAAATTATTAAATATCCTTATAATGAATAATTGCAAATATATGATGATTGTATTGCATTGAAAATGTTTTTAATTGGTTTTAAAATGTGTTACAGAGTATGTTCAATGTGGTGTCCACCATTTTTTATAAGCAAGTTACATCGCATTACTGTGTTCTCAACAGTAGCTCTTAGCATATCAGGAGGAATTTAACTTGCTTTCAGAAAACAGTGGACGCCACATTAAACATGCTTTGTAACACATTTTAGAAACAATTAAAAACATTTTCAACAATGTCTTCATGTCTTATTTCATTTAACAATATTGCAAACAGTGCCATTTCCCATTGGTGGTGAGTTTTTGAACTTTTTTTTGCGGGAAATAAAATCTCGTGATGTCTTGTACACTATTATTAAGTTTGATAACATTCTGTCCAATAGTTTTCATTTTATGGCCATTTCAAAGTGGAACTTTAATTATAAACACTCTGTACAGCAGATTCTGCTTAATTTGGCCATAGCGGAAAATAGGTCATTTGGCCCAATTGTGAGAATATTGTACAAATAAGCTGAAATAAACATACTTTTCCAGTTTAAATAGGTGTAATAATGTATAAAATAAAAAGAGACATTTACTGAAAAATAAATTGAAGACAGAATATTTATTTTTATTACAATCTTTAAAAAACACCAGAAATAAAAATGTGCAAGCACAAGGAGAGAACACACAGCCACTTTCCCATAAGATGTAGTGTGGTCATGTTCAAATTTTTAAATAAGTGATGGTAAACACACAAATTTTATTATCCCAATATATTCCCACATGCAGGTTTGTATAGCCCACAAATGGCAACTAGCTAAATCATAAAAGATGTATCATTTTAACATTTCAATAGCACAAACTGGCTAAAGTAGGTGCAACTTGACAACTTGGATTTATGTCACTAGGAATATGTCTAGGTGGAAAGCACTAAATAGGCAATACGATGCAACAATCTGTTACATATGAAATGGATTATGCCATTGGTTTCCTTACTTAGCTGTTTGTCACAGTTTCTTCCAGGAACATCCTGTAGAATTTCATGCTTTGAGTAAAACAGACTAGATCAAGAAGATTCCAAAATTACTTTGTTTCTGTCCCAACCTAACTTTTTTTAGGCCTAGTAAATTCAGTAATAATAATTATAGAATATTTTCTTCATCTTTAAACCCATTCTACAGCACAGCTCTAATTGCATTGCAGTTATGTCAGCTTGTGATAGCTGACATAACTGCAATGCAATTAGAGGCATACTTTATACAGTTGTTCAGATATAATTGTTACTGCCCCATGATGTGGGTTTCAGTCCTTGATGAGGGGACCCTCCAGAGATGGTTTAGTGTTTCTTTTTTACCATCTTTGGGATATGAATGCTCATCCACGTGTTTGCCATGCATGGTGACCCATGTAACGAAAAGAGGGATTCTGGCAGTTGAGGGACGACATACTGTTTCCAACACACTGGTTCGGTCCTTTATATAAATAGGAGGCTCAATTTGAGTCAATCAGTTGGTCATTGAGTCGTTTATGACTTTGGCTTGGAGTCAACTGATCGATGTAGAGCAGGCGGATAGTTGATGTCCCCGCTTGACAGTTTTGTCTGGTCAGACAAGATGTGCCATTCTTGACTGCATTGTGAGGATCTCCTGATAAACCCTGGTGTGATGGTCTATGGGAATTTCCCACGTGATGGCATCCCTCGATGGGCCCCATGATGGGTGGGGTCACTGGGAGTTGAGTAACTTTATTTCAATATAGATTCAACTAAACAAAATGTCCATGTGTTGCCACCAAAGAATGTCAGCACCTTCAGCCAGCCAGCCTACCTGCTACTGGAGAAAAATGTTTGTCCAACTGTTCTCCTTTTCTAGTGTAAAAGTTATTCAAATCAACTATTGGACAGCCCAAAGTGATACAAAAATTGAGATCAGGAGACCTGCTGATAAAAACAGCATTCTCTCAACAATCAGTGAAGCTGATTGATCTGACAATGAAGACTTTGGAAAACATGAGAGTTACTGTAACATCACATGGAAGCTTAAACTGATCATGATATCTGAGATTGATCTGATGTCTGAAGATGAATCAGATATTCTGGTTGGACCATCTGATCAAGGTATCACTGCTGTTAGACACATTTCCATTTGTCAAGATGGCAAGTTGATACCTACAAAACACCTTATTTTGACATTTAACAAGCGAACATTGTCATCGTATGTTGCGGCAGGATATCTGCACTGTCCAGTTTGCCCATAAGTTCAAAATTCATTTTGCTGCTTCAAATGCCAGTGGTTTGGACATTCACAAGCATCCTGCTGTGGAGAAAGTATATGTGTACAGTGTGGAACAGAAGGTCATGAGATTACTGAGTGTACAGTAATCTCATGACTGCAATTTTCTTTGCAACTCTTTGCAATTCCCATGCTGTGTGAATTGCAAAGAGGTCCATCCTTCCTATTCATGAAAATGTCCAGCATGGAAACGAGAGAAAGAAATTTAATGAATAAAAACCATGAACAATCTATCTTACCCAGATGCCCGTCATATGGTTACTTCAAGTGAACTGAAGAAATAAAAGACATTTGCTGCTGCTTTCAAATCCACCAAGATCTGTGAGGTTCAAACAGACATGTGAGGCTTGCTGACTGTGTGTGATTGTCAGGACAGTCGACGGATCTCAAACTGTCCTAACAATGCTCACAGAGACAGGCTGGCCATCTTTTTATCTGTTTAATTAATTATAAATAATTTTCTTACAATTTTCTAAATTGCTGCTGTCACAAAATTTAGGGAGAGAGAAAGTCCAAACAAAAGTCCAATCATTTTGTAAGATTTTTTCTTTCTGTCCCTCATTGACGGTCATTGAGATCAATGGCCTTGGGGTGTGTGGCACAGCTTCAAACAAATAGTCCTTGGGGAAAAGATGAATCTGGGTGTGTGGCACAGCTTCAAACAAATAGGCCTTGGGGAAAAGATGAATCTGGATGAACCAGAACAGTTCTCGGAGAATTGCATTCGGCAGAGTTGACAATTATCAGGTCAGTCCATAAGTTCGTGCGTATTTTATGACCTTGAGAAAAATCTTTTACTGTTAAAAATGCCAGTCTAATGTGATACTTTTTACACTGAAGTGTTAAATTGGATCTCATTCATATAATACTGTTCAGAATTGGGAACATTTCAGTTGTTTATTTTCGTTAAAATGGAAGTAACAGACGAATATAAGAGACATGTTTTATACTTTTTATTTTTAAGTGATGAGAATGCTACAAATGCAGCCAAAAAATTAAATACTGTTCATTATCAAACTGTAATTAGTGTAAGGACTGTGCAGAAGTGGTTTGAAAGATTTAGAAATAATGATTTTAGTGTGGAGGATAAGGCTCGTACTGGAAGACCCATTGACTTTGATGATGATGCTCTCTCTGCACTAGTTGAAGCAGAACCATCTTTAACAGTTGATGAAATTACGGAACGTTTAAATTCATCCCATGGAACTGTTCATAGACATCTACAACAAATCAGAAAAGTATCAAAGCTAGGAAAATGGATACCACATTAACTGTCAATAGTTAACTGACAACAACGTCAACTGCTCAACTCAAAAGCTTCAACTGGGAAATTTTACCTCATACACCATATTTGCCAGATATTGCTCCCAGTGATTATCATCTTTTTCGGAGTTTGCAGAATTTTTTAAAAGGAAAAACTTTTGAGGATGAGAACAATGTAAAAAAGGCTATTTCTGAATATTTTGATTCAAAACCGAAATCATTTTACAAAGATGGGATTAAAAAGCAACCATCAAGATGGCAAGAAATTGTACAAAATAA